GAGTGGGTTTCACAGAGTATATATGTATACTGTACAGTATATGAACAAAGGAAAGCTAAAAACATAGTTTATAACATATGTCAGACAATAATTTGAACAGGCAGCTAAAATATGATGTTTACGAAATTTAAAAAAAAAAAAAAAAAAAAAGTTAAAAGATGTTCAACAAAATAGAGTTCAGCAATAAATACAAATTATACAGAAGGATTGAACATGCTATAAATACCCTCACTGGTAGAAATACAGGAGGAAATGATTAGATATGATAATTACATAAATGTTCACAAATATATAGGCTATAAAAAAGGAATAAAATTTTCTGGGTTCAGAGTGAAAACCACAAAGCCATATTTTCAAATTTCAAAAATAAAGGCAGATAAAAGACTAAAAGCAATATTTCTTCACAAATACTGTAGCAGACAGAAGGAATTGGTTCAAAAAGAGGTAGTGTGCTACAATCCCTGGATACTTATTTTTATAATTTTTATAAGTATGATATATTGACCATAGAAAACTGGGCACCATGAGCCTAGCACTATACTGTAACTACTGAACAAATAGATACTATAATTACAAAGATCCAAGTACACAAAAGAATATAAATTGTGTCTATTTAAGAATATTAATTTGAGTTTGGATATTTAGAAAGATGAACATGCTTGTGGCCAGGAAGCCATAACATGAGGAAATAAGAAGGTAGTTTGGATCCATTATTGGAAAAAAGTAAAAACAGTACATTTTACACAAGATGTGTGGATTTAAGTATTTGCACCCAGGAGACATTTCTAAATAAGAGAAAAATTATAATGATGTACCCTACCTAATGTATAGCTTTGGAGGTTAATACTGTACGAGAAACTGATGCATAAAAAATCATTACTACACTGGAATTTAGGTTTTTTTTTTTTAATTATCACACTGGCCGATTCCCACCAAGGCAGGGTGGCCCGAAAAAGAAAAACTTTCACCATCATTCACTCCATCACTGTCTTGCCAGAAGGGTGCTTTACACTACAGTTTTTAAACTGCAACATTAACACCCCTCCTTTAGAGTACAGGCACTGTACTTCCCATCTCCAGGACTCAAGTCCGGCCTGCCGGTTTCCCTGAACCCCTTCATAAATGTTACTTTGCTCACACTCCAACAGCACGTCAAGTATTAAAAACCATTTGTCTCCATTCACTCCTATCAAACACGCTCACGCATGCCTGCTGGATGTCCAAGCCCCTCGCACACAAAGCCTCCTTTACCCTCTCCCTCCAACCTTTCCTAGGCTGACCACTACCCCGCCTTCCTTCCACTACAGACTGATACACTCTTGAAGTCACTCTGTTTAGCTCCATTCTCTCTACATGTCCAAACCACCTCAACAACCCTTCCTCAGCCCTCTGGACAACAGTTTTGGTAATCCCGCACCTTCTCCTAACTTCCAAACTACGAATTCTCTGCATTATATTCACACCACACATTGCCCTCAGACATGACATCTCCACTGCCTCCAGCCTTCTCCTCGCTGCAACATTCATCACCCATGCTTCACACCCATATAAGAGCGTTGGTAAAACTATACTCTCATACATTCCCCTCTTTGCCTCCAAGGAAAAAGTTCTTTGTCTCCACAGACTCCTAAGTGCACCACTCACCCTTTTCCCCTCATCAATTCTATGATTCACCTCATCTTTCATAGACCCATCCGCTGACACATCCACTCCCAAATATCTAAATACATTCACCTCCTCCATACTCTCTCCCTCCAATCTGATATCCAATCTTTCATCACCTAATCTTTTTGTTATCCTCATAACCTTACTCTTTCCTGTATTCACTTTTAATTTTCTTCTTTTGCACACCCTACCAAATTCATCCACCAATCTCTGCAACTTCTCTTCAGAATCTCCCAGAGCACAGTGTCATCAGCAAAGAGTAACTGTGACAACTCCCACTTTATGTGTGATTCTTTATCTTTTAACTCCACGCCTCTTGCCAAGACCCTCGCATTTACTTCTCTTACAACCCCATCTATAAATATATTAAACAACCACGGTGACATCACACATCCTTGTCTAAGGCCTACTTTTACTGGGAAATAATTTCCCTCTTTCCTACATACTCTAACTTGAGCCTCACTATCCTCGTAAAAACTCTACATTGCTTTCAGTAACCTACCTCCTACACCATACACCTGCAACATCTGCCACATTGCCCCCCTATCCACCCTGTCATACGCCTTTTCCAAATCCATAAATGCCACAAAGACCTCTTTAGCCTTATCTAAATACTGTTCACTTATATGTTTCACTGTAAACACCTGGTCCACACACCCCCTACCTTTCCTAAAGCCTCCTTGTTCATCTGCTATCCTATTCTCCGTCTTACTCTTAATTCTTTCAATAATAACTCTACCATACACTTTACCAGGTCTACTCAACAGACTTTTCCCCCTATAATTTTTGCACTCTCTTTTGTCCCCTTTGCCTTTATACAAAGGAACTATGCATGCAATCTGCCAATCCCTAGGTACCTTACCCTCTTCCATACATTTATTAAATAATTGCACCAACCACTCCAAAACTATATCCCCACCTGCTTTTAACATTTCTACCTTTATCCCATCAATCCCAGCTGCCTTACCCCCTTTCATTTTTACCTACTGCCTCACGAACTTCCCCCACACTCACAACTGGCTCTTCCTCACTCCTACAAGATGTTATTCCTCCTTGCCCTATACACGAAATCACAGCTTCCCTATCTTCATCAACATTTAACGATTCCTCAAAATATTCCCACCATCTTCCCAATACCTGTAACTCTCCATTTAATAACTCTCCTCTCCTATTTTTAACTGACAAATCCATTTGTTCTCTAGGCTTCCTTAACTTGTTAATCTCACTCCAAAACTTTTTCTTATTTTCAACAAAATTTGTTGATAACATCTCACCCACTCTCTCATTTGCTCTTTTTACATTGCTTCACCACTCTCTTAACCTCTCTCTTTTTTCTCCATATACTCTTCCCTCCTTGTATCACTTCTACTTTGTAAAAACTTCTCATATGCTAACTTTTTCTCCCTTACTACTCTCTTTACATCATTCCACCAATTGCTCCTCTTCCCTCCTGCACCCACTTTCCTGTAACCACAAACTTCTGCTGAACACTCTAACACTACATTTTTAAACCTACCCCATACCTCGTCGACCCCATTGCCTATGCTCTCATTAGCCCATCTATCCTCCAATAGCTGTTTATATCTTACCCTAACTGCCTCCTCTTTTAGTTTATAAACCTTCACCTCTCTCTTCCCTGATGCTTCTATTCTCCTTGTATCCCATCTACCTTTTACTCTCAGTGTAGCTACAACTAGAAAGTGATCTGATATATCTGTGGCCCCTCTATAAACATGTACATCCTGAAGTCTACTCAACAGTCTTTTATCTACCAATACATAATCCAACGAACTACTGTCATTTCGCCCTACATCATATCTTGTATACTTATTTACCTTCTTTTTCTTAAAATATGTATTACCTATAACTAAACCCCTTTCTATACAAAGTTCAATCAAAGGGTTCCCATCATCATTTACACCTGGCACCCCAAACTTACCTACCACACACTCTCTAAAAGTTTCTCCTACTTTAGCATTCAGGTCCCCTACCACAATTACTCTCTCACTTATTTCAAAGGCTCCTATACATTCACTTAACATCTCCCAAAATATCTCTCTCTCCTCTACATTCCTCTCTTCTCCAGGTGCATACACGCTTATTATGACCCACTTTTCGCATCCAACCTTTACTTTAATCCACATAATTCTTGAATTTACACATTCATATTCTCTTTTCTCCTTCCATAACTGATCCTTCAACATTACTGCTACCCCTTCCTTTGCTCTAACTCTCTCAGATACTCCAGATTTAATCCCATTTATTTCCCCCACCGAAACTCCCCTACCCCCTTCAGCTTTGTTTCGCTTAGGGCCAGGACATCCAACTTCTTTTCATTCATAACATCAGCAATCATCTGTTTCTTGTCATCCGCACTACATCCACACACATTCAAGTATCCCAGTTTTATAAAGTTTTTCTTCTTCTCTTTTTTAGTAAATGTCTACAGGAGAAGGGGTTACTAGCCCATTGCTCCCGGCATTTTAGTCGCCTCATACAACACGCATGGCTTACGGAGGAAAGATTCTTTTCCACTTCCCCATGGACAATAGAAGAAATAAAGAAGAACAATTTAGTGTATGTGTAATATTATACTGGAGAAAATTTTTGTTTCACAAATAGTTTGATAAGACTGCTGGAATGGGATCCTCAAGGCAGTAGATAATTAAAATAATATCAAACTAGTCATCAGAAATAAGACATAACAAGCACTCCTCTTTTCCTGTGTAATTACACACACAATCACAAGATTAAATACAGTACAGCACATCTAAAACTTCAAAATAAGATGAAGTTATAAGCAAGAGAAAATATAATGAGTGAACAATGTGAGATATGGGTGAGTACTGTGAGGCACTGAAGCAGCAGCACTGAGGTACTAAAGCAGGGCACTGTGATGTGTTAGAGCATAGGCACTGAGAGGCGTTAGTGATATACTTTATACCAGTTTTTACTTTATTCTAAAACCAAAAATACACTCTTTATATGAAATTCTATATCTAAGTTACATAGCAAAAGTGCATCACTATTAAACTACACAAAAATACTAGTGCTAATGCACAAAAACTGCCCCTTTTTCTCTGAAATTCAAACCCCTTAGCAACCTCATATAATAATAATGTCTAAATATGTACAGTACTTAATTTTTTTTATGAATTTGTCAGTAACATTAATAAAATATAAAAATACTGTAAATAATATTTTCATCTACATAATAACTGCTTTTAAAAAACTGTCATTAAACAATGTGAGGAAAAGAATTCTCATAAACTAAGGGGTTGAACCATACAAAAATTGTGTGCAAAAGCGACAAAAAATATGTAATATGGGCTCACGGAGTTGGAAATACAGCGGATCCAATTCGGCACCGAACTTCCAAAAACGGAGGCCGCCAACTAGAAACAAAGTCCACCAATTAGAATCATCATCAGGGATTTTTTAAAGATAAAGAAAAATAAAAATGCCTGGGAGATCAGCATTTTGTGTAACCTAATTAACTTAAATTATACACATTAAAAGGTATTTCGAAAACAATTATTACACTCAAAACAAGAACAAATAATTTAGAAAAAAAAGAAGGCATCAGAAGAAAGAATAAGCAAAGGTGAACACAAAATAATGGGAAACACTGGTATGCTATTCTCTACTAGCCACTAATGGCAATAAACATTCTTGGAGACAAAACAGATCCAGCCCTCTACAGCTCATGCTACACTTGCCATGATCCTCCACAGAAAATTAAGCAAAACATACAGAGGGCAACTTAAACCCTTTCTTATTACCCTATACATAAATACTTACAGACAGTAACAAAACTAATGTTAAGTCAAAGACAAATTACTAATACAAGAAACTAAAGTACAGTCATTTATACAAATTCATATGGGATTGTTTTTCTAAAGACCCCACAAACTAGAAATCACAAATAATATAAAATTAAGTATGCATGACAATTTTTACTCCAGATCTGGGCTTAGTTTCTCTGAAATACAAATATCACTATCCAGTTAATGTTAGCATTCATAAGAAACAATGACTAGAATAAACAGAAGTTTGAGTGTGAGAAAACCACTAAGCTAGAAAAATGTTAGATAACTGAATCTATTTGTTATTTCCCCATCAGTAAAAATATTGGATAACCAAAACTAGCAAATAAGGAAACTTGTGAAATTGTAAGAATGACTGTAAGCTAATTGGAGAAAGGAAATTTGTTGAGATAGGATGACAGACCAATAATGTCAGTTTGTCATTGATATTTTTAATACAAACCAGTACATTTTCTTAAGCCCATATTACATGCAACATTTCAGGCAAGTCTTACCATATATTCTCAACCATAAGACAATGGGGTATACTGTTTCCTCAAATCAAGTTTTTGCATACCAATAGATATAAGTAGTAGCATATTTTCAGGCCTCACAGATGGTTGTAAATCAGGCTTTTTTTTTTTTTTTTTTTTTTTTTTTTTTTTTTTTGTATCAGCAGTCAACAATGTTTTCATATCATATCAGAAAATAACAATAATGTTTATACTGCACATACGGTAAATAATTTTTCACCATGAGAGTGATATAAATATACCTAGTTGGATGAACCTTATTGTGGCTAGCTGGCCCAGTGGCTAACGCGACGGTCTGGAGTTTTGAGACTATGATCGCAGGTTCTAACCCTGCCCGTGGTATGGTTTGTTTGGTCACAGGTCTAATTAACAGATGTGACTATATTAGCAGTTTCTTGCAAAGTAGTCAACACATGCTGTGTTTTCATATCTTTGCATTTTTTAGTTGTAGCTACAGTGAGTAAAAGGTAGATGGGGTACAAGGAGACTGGCATCAGTGAGTAAGAGGGGCGAGTGTTTATAAACTGGAGGAGGAGGGAGAGGAGGAAGAAGAAGAAGAAGAGGAGGAGGAGGAGGATGAGGATGAGGATGAGGATGAGGATGAGGATGAGGATGAGGATGAGGATGAGGATGAGGATGAGGATGAGGATGAGGATGATGATGATGAGGATGATGATGATGATGATGATGATGATGATGATGATGATGATGATGATGATGATGATGATGATGATGATGATGATGATGATGATGATGATGATGATGATGATGATGATGATGATGATGATGATGATGATGATGATGATGATGATGATGATGATGATGATGATGATGATGATGATGATGATGATGATGATGATGATGATGATGATGATGATGGATGATGATGATGATGATGATGATGATGATGATGATGATAGGGTAAGATATAAGCAACTATTGGTAGAAAGATGGGCTAGAGAGAGTATAAGTAATGAGGTTGAAGAGGTATGGGGTAGATTTAAGAATACAGTGTTAGTGTGTGCAACAGAAGCTTGTGGATATAGAATTGTGGGTGTGGGAGGAAAGAGGAGTGATTTGTGGAATGACAAGGTAAAGAGGGGTAAAAGAGAAAAAGTTAGAATATGAGAGGTTTTTACAAAGTAGAAGTGATATAAAGAGGGTGAAATATATAGAGAGAAAAAGCGAGGGAGTGTAAAAGGAGAGCAAATGAGAGAGAAAGTGGGTGAGGTGCTGTCAAATTTTGTTGAGAATAGGAAAAAAGTTTTGGAGTGAGATTAATAAGTTGAGAAAGCCTAGGGAATGAATGGATCTAACAATTTAACAACAGAAGAGGGAAGCTATTAGATGTGGAGTTGGAGGTATTAGGATGATGGAGGGAATATTTTGACAAACTGTTAAATGTTGATGAAGAGAGGGAAGCTGTGATTTCATGTAATTGCCCAGGGAGGTATAACATATTTTATGAGTAAGAATGAGCCAGATGCGAGTGTGGGGAAGGTATGTGAGGTTATGGGTAAATTGAAAGGGCATAAAGCACCTGGGATTAATGGAATCAAGACAGAAATGTTAAAAGCAGGTGTGGATATAGTTTTGGAGTGGTTGGTGCTTTTATTCAATAAATGTATGAAAGAGAAGGTACCTAGGTATTGGCAGAGAGCATGCATAGCTCCTTTGTATAAAGGCAAAGGGGACAAAGGAGTGTAAGAATTATAGGGAAATAGGCCTGCTGAGTACACCTGCATTTATTGTAAACCTCATTTATACCTGAGTATACCTCATTAATTGCACTAAAGTGCACCTCTGGAGATCTGTTTGGGGCTATGTTTACCTCTGGTTATTTTATTGTCTAAGGTTCATAGCCTTTTTTACCCCTTGCCTCCTCCAAGTACTGTATTCAGTATCAAGCCTTCTTTCTCCTTCCTCAACTTTCATAATCTTTTACTTGCTGGGGTGTAAGTTAAATAACAATCTGTTCAACAGGTCAAGTAGTCATTCCAGATTTTGTGCTTCTCAAACAACTGTTAGATTCTAAGCAGTTCACACAGTAATTACAGTATGTGTTAATGTAGGTACACACTTAAAAAAACTATAATAAGAATCCATCTAGTTATCATAAACTTCATGAGAAGCAGTGGACTCTTAATTCTATAGTTAATAATGGACTAACTTTCCAGTCCAAAATTAAGTAAAACATCATTTTTCTATTAATTATTATCACTATTATTATTAAAATAAAAATTATTATATTTGCTGAAAATTATTTAAAATACATACAGCATTACACATATCTAACATGTAGACTAATTCATGCAAGCATAAAGAAATGAAGGCAGTGAACACTAGATGAAAGGAGCAGCAGAAGCACAACTTACGCGCTGAAGATGGCCTGAGGACCGACCCCCGCATCAGCCTGACATGATGCGTTGACCCCCATCCTCTTCATGCACAGTCACCTGATAAACCAGGAAAGACGTTTAGCCAATGATCAACCCCAATCTTCCACTTAAAGCAACAGTACTGCCGAGCCCTACATGCTCATTACACTTACACATGCAAGGCAAAACTTTGCAGAGACAGAGGAAGAAAGGGACCAGAAAGGCAAAAATTTGAGAGAGGGGAAAAAAAGAAAGTAGAGATGAAGGAAAGTGAGATTTAAGGGAAAAGGAGCAGACAGAGAGGAGGAATGAAGAAATAAAAGTGAAAGTAGAATTGTGGGAGGGAAGACAGCAGAGGAAAGAAAGAAGAGGGAATGTGGGAGAGGACTGATGATGGAAGGTGACGATAGAGAAAGATACCACAGAAAATTTGAGGTTGGGATGAAAAAGGAGGAAAGGAGGGAAATTAAAGAGAGAAGCAGGAAGAAGGTGAACATAAGAAAAGTGAAGGGAGGAAAGGTGCAGAGAGGAAAAGGGAAGAGAGGAAGAATAGATAGGAAATGAAGAATGGAGGAAGAACAGAATAAGAGAAAGAGGATATGGAGGAGCAGCAGCAGATGCAGCAGCAACAGCAGATGCAGCAGCAGATGCAACAGAAGTAGTAGTTTAGAGATAAGGGAGGGGAGGAAACATTAATCTCCCCAATCAATAAATCTTCCAAACAAAATGTTACAACAAAAGCAAAGCTCTGCCTTAAATCAGGAAAAATAACAATCAAGACATATCTAATAATTTTGTCCTTAATGTTTACAATTATCAACAGGTGGCTCATATAGTCTAATACCCTATAACTCGACCCATTATGATGGCATACAATCACGGTACAGTGCACATCTTTCCCTATACTTCCTACTTACCAATCCCCTACCCCAAACCTCACTACCCCAACTGCCCCCTAAATAAGTCCTCTACCACCCTCCCTTCCTCATACAGTTAACCACTAGCTCCATCCTGCTTACATACTTCATCCCACCAAACATCCATCCAACCTAACTTTACATACTGCTGTCTGCCTACTCACACACTATCCTTCAATTCTGAATGTCTGAGAACTTCTCATCCCACAGAATGATACAAATGAAAACTCCATTCCTACCACCATAACTCCTCCATAACTCACAGACTCCAAACCTGCCCAACACTATCAACAGCCCTGCTTACATCCCCTTCCCTTCCACTCGCAACGACAAAATATAAATGGGACAACCAGGCATTGTGAAGCCAAAATGAAGAGGAATGATAAATACAATATTCACAGAGGGGTTTTACCTGATTACCAATTGATGGTTTCAGGCATCATTGACCCCACAGCCCAGTTTCAGACTAAACCTTTTTTGATGGCCTGCTTAGTCAGGATGTTGGTGCTTGCTACAGGCAATCTAACACAGACACCTCAACCTGATTGGTCATGAACTGCCTGGAGGAACTGAAGTTCTCGTGAACACAACTAGTGGTATACTGATAATTCCCTTTACATTTGAGTTAAAGGTGCTGCAAAGTATTGGATCCTTTATGCATACTGAGCTATAAGTAATTTTGGGCTCTTGCTTTCTCACTGGGGATTTTGCACCATCTACCATTCTTTCCATTCACTCAAGGACTAATATCATTCTGCAAGGTTTGAAACCAGCCCCCCCCCCCCAATATTTTCCAGGTGTAAATTATACATTTTTTTTTGGGGGGGGGGGGGAGGGCTGCATTCCAAGAGTGCGGTTTAGGCGACTTTTGATGAAAACGATGTGAAGCTAAATGCAGACTAACAACCTAATAAATATTATATTCACAGACAAGTGCTAAACCCATCAGGAATATATGGGGGGAAATCAGGTTTGATCCAGGAAGAGGGAGGGGGTAGCTCTATTTTCACAAATCAAGCTTCCATCATTGATATCAAGGAACCCCCACTGAAGCGTGTAACAACCTCAGACAGACAGACACACAATGTACTCAAGTGCCTGGTTAGAATTTAATCATAAAAACGCGTTGATCCAGGGGGCAGTATGGCCCTCTGGGCCACTATGAAAGGTTATTGGAACACAATGAAATTACTTTGATTAGCACTAACCAATATTACTCACTAAATTGTAAATTGTTACTATTAACATGAAAATTCAACATTTCTTAACTTTTAAAACCAATAAATTCAAAATAAAAATCGTGCGTCGTTCGGCCTATCACCCCTCCTTCCCCAACCCATCCTATGTTACACTTCCACTTAAGATTTGCTGCCAATTTCTAAGTTGGGTTGGGTCGAGTTACAACATAATAACTATAAAATAAGATAAAAGACGATAAAATAGTCTGCCGCGCGAACAGAAAACGTGCAGCTACTGCACGCGGCTCATGTATCTCGCATATTTCAACTGTTCAAACAAGTTAGTTTAACATCTTTATTACGCACCCAATACCCATCATGTGGGCAATAGTCAAAGGATTACAGAGGTATATAATGGGTCCAGGGACTGGACTGCAAAGTTTTGCTAGTTGAACAAGTTCCAGTGGTAATGAACTATTTGTTTCTATCTGGTCACATTCGTTATGTTATTTATTCAAACATAAATTAGATTGGTCTCGCTCACACTCAAAAAACAAAAAAAAAAATGGTAATGTTTTATTTACAGTAAGCAAAATCAAGGTATTTTTCCAGAATGGTTTGTAATATACCACTGTCGATAAAGTACTTCGGCATTTCTTGAACAATTCCGAGTGAGTTGTCTGAGTTCATTAATTTTATCGCATTCCAGTACATAATGACGCAGGGTGTAACAACTGTCCATCTGGCGAGTTTACATTTCATTTGGTCTATGTATGGTAGTGGTGATTTAACCTCCCAGAGATACTTGTAAACCAGCCGAAGCCGGGCGGTAGTGACATTCAAGTCATTCAGCTTATTTTGTTGGATGCACCATAGACTTGTGGCTCGTCCTGCATGATAGTGTCACTAAGACTCAATCAACAGCCACCAGTGCCAGGTTGTCTATGGTTAAGAGGACGGGATGCCTTCCCGCAATGCAAGAGAGGATGGCATCCCTTGGCCCACTGTGAGTAGTTTTGTGGATCGAAAAGAAAAATTCCTTTCAGTTGCACTGATTAATAATCATTATATTGCTGCAACTATAAAAAAAAGTTGACATTTAAAACACGAATTCGTAAACAAATTGTACTGGCTATCACCCTCCCATTCCATCGGTACAGGCAAGGATGAATCCTCCAACAATTCCCGGACCCTTCCCTGAACGAAAAGTTCAAAATAGACAGAAAAGAGCGAGAGGAAGAAAATCAAAACCAAACTAAACCAGGTATATCTTGATTCACCTAATAAACCTGGTACATCTAGATACATCCAATAAACCAGGTACATTTAGATGCAGCTAATAAACCAGGTACATCGAGATGCAGCTAATAAACCAGGTACATCGAGATGCAGCTAATAAACCATGTACATCGAGATGCAGCTAATAAAACAGGTACATCTAGATGCATCTAATAAACCAGGTACATCTAGATGCAGCTAATAAACCAGGTACATCTAGATGCAGCTAATAAACCAGGTACATCTAGATGCATCTAATAAACCAGGTACATCTAGATGCATCTAATAAACCAGGTACATCTAGATGCATCTAATAAACCAGGTACATCTAGATGCATCTAATAAACCAGGTACATCTAGATGCATCTAATAAACCAGGCACATCTAGATGCATCTAATAAACCAGGTACATCTAGGTGCATCTAATAAACCAGGCACATCTAGATGCAACTAATAAACCAGGCACATCTAGATGCAGCTAACAAACCAGGTACATCTAGATGCAGCTAATAAACCAGGTACATCTAGATGCAGCTAATAAACCAGGTACATCAGATGCATCTAATAAACCAGGTACATCTAGATGCATCAAATAAACCAGGTACATCTAGATGAATCTAATAAACCAGGTACATCTAGATGCATCTAATAAACCAGGTACATCTAGATGCATCTAATAAACCAGGCACATCTAGATGCAGCTAATAAACCAGGCACATCTAGATGCATCTAATAAACCAGGTACATCTAGATGCATCTAATAAACCAGGTACATCTAGATGCATCTAATAAACCAGGTACATCTAGATGCATCTAATAAACCAGGCACATCTAGATGCATCTAATAAACCAGGTACATCTAGATGCATCTAATAAACCAGGCACATCTAGATGCAACTAATAAACCAGGCACATCTAGATGCAGCTAACAAACCAGGTACATCTAGATGCAGCTAATAAACCAGGTACATCTAGATGCAGCTAATAAACCAGGTACATCAGATGCATCTAATAAACCAGGTACATCTAGATGCATCAAATAAACCAGGTACATCTAGATGAATCTAATAAACCAGGTACATCTAGATGCATCTAATAAACCAGGTACATCTAGATGCATCTAATAAACCAGGCACATCTAGATGCAGCTAATAAACCAGGCACATCTAGATGCAGCTAATAAACCAGGCACATCTAGATGCAGCTAATAAACCAGGCACATCTAGATGCAGCTAATAAACCAGGCACATCTAGATGCAGCTAATAAACCAGGCACATCTAGATGCAGCTAATAAACCAGGCACATATAGATGCTGCTAATAAACCAGGCACGTCTAGATGCAGCTAATAAACCAGGCACGTCTAGATGCATCTAATAACCCAGGTACTAGATGCTGCTAGTAAACCAGGTACTAAATGCTGTTAGTAAACCAGGTACTAGATGCTGCTAGTAAGCCAGGTACTAAACGCAGCTAGTAAACCAGATACTGGTATAGACCTTGGTAATAAATACCGACAAGTTGGTTTAGAAAGACACGTAAGCAAACATTATGACATTTATTAGAAAACGTTTCGGTCCTGGGACCTTGATCACTTGATCAAGGTCCTAGGACCGAAACGTTTTCTAATAAATGTCATAGTGTTTGCTTACGCGTCTTTTTAAACCAAACCAGGTACTACATACAGCTAGTAAGCCAGGTACTGC